CCCCAAAACCCCAAAACCCCAAAACCCCAAAACCCCGTATGATTGAAATCGAATCTTGAGTAATCATTTGTAATATATTGATAATAAAATAATGCATTTATTTTGAATATTGATGCTTACTATTCCAATAATTAGAAGGAAATTTCTCAGCTTAAAAGAAAATTTAAAACAAAAAATTTGAAATCTATAAATAAATCTACTAAGAAAAATTATAATTGAGTAATGCGATCATTATCAAGTCAAAATTATCGGGATTTTAGAAGTTAGCATGTTTATCAAAACAATTCGAATTAGATTACAGGTAATTTAAACTATCTTAACATTATTAGTTTGTCAGGCAACGAATAATTATTATCAGTTCACTTACTAAATTCAAAACAGAAATTAAACAGACATTGTAATTTAATAATCTGATAACAAATTAATGCAAAAAAATACTAAAAAGTACTTAGTATTTAAGTACGTGCTTCCCGATGACTATTTGATTGGCAAAGTTGTTTTCTATCAAGTTTTAATGGAAATCATGAAATGCTATAATTTAGTGGAGTTTTATGAGAATAAATTTTGCGAGAAATGGTTCAAAGCTTAGATATATTCGAAAGACATGGATATTGTTAATTAATATCTTCGTAAAGTGACATACTCACTGGAAGATATTCTGAGCGCTGAAGAGTAGTAACTCATGTTTCATGTTGAAACGATAAGATCATATATAGTGACAATGATTAACAGGGAGTTTTATGAAATACATGCACTAAAATTAAGGAAAAAATAGCATAAATTTGAGTCCTAGAATTAACAAATATTTACACATGATCACTCAGCCAATATTATTCAAAATAATCAAAGTTCACCAACGAACTCTTCAAATTTCAGATCAAAATTATATAAACCAATAAATGTTAATTAACCTCAAATCAGCCTTAATAACTCCTAAATTACTCAGACTCAGGATGAAAGAAATGAAAACTCTCAGCTACTTAAGTTTAGTTAAAATTAAGTCAGAGGAATGAATAATATGAATTAGTAAAACTAGTAAAATTTAAGTTTCATGGAAAATATTCAATAAAATAAGAGAAGTTCAAATACCAATCTTGAAGAATCTAATAAGTTATCAATATAAAGACATAGAAAGGATCTAGATGAATTCAAATAACAAGTGAATGAAAGGCTTGAAAAAATTGAAAATACTCTGAATTTACATTCCTAAAAACTGATTAGATTAGAAAATATTTTAGAGGCGATCGCTAGGAAACTTGGATGTGATATTGAGGAATTATTGAATTAAAAGAAGTAGTGAGAGAATAAATTTGATTTTATTTCAGTGAAATGTAGTCTTTGAAAGTTTAAAAATTCTCTATAACTAGTATCATAAAAAATAGACATTATCATAATTAATTATTAATTTCATAATAATAATCTAATTTCCTTCTAGCGGGGTTTTGGGGTTTTGGGG